GGAGTCTTGTCCTGCCTCAGCCTGCCTTATGAAATGGGGTGAGGCAGCCAGGATGCTGGCAGCTGCCCTTTTTGCAGGTCACTAGCCACAGACCTTGCAAATTTGGACTGCACTGGTGTGGTTGTCACCCCAAACTGTCAGATGTGTGTTCAGTGCAAATGTGCTTCAGCCACTGCTCACCATCGCGAGTGCTTTCAGCACTCGTTCTTAGAAATGAGCAGAATGAGGTTTTGGCAAAGGACCTCGGTGTTTTGGGAGTCAAAGCTTGGGTTTTCTAGCCTGCATCTATCTTATTCCTTGTGCTCACAGATACAGACTATTCCAGTGACTTAAGTCAACGGGCTAGGCTCTTCTGAGCTATCGCCTCCCAGGCTTGGAGAGCTCATGCAGCTGCCTGGAGGCAGAACAACGCTGCCATACAGATTCTGTTCTTAAGGAATCTTAATGAAATAAAAAAAGAGCTTACCAGAATTAAAGGATCACTGGGTGGAGGAATAAACACATACACTGAGAGTTAAAAAAATGTCTGCAGTGAGGAAATAGTGTAAAATAACCAGAGTCTCTGTGTGTGCTTTGTCTCAGCAGGATGAAGATGGTCGTTGCCCTACTGGTTACGCTCTGGCTGTGCATGGCCACCCTCGGCCGAGGCTCAGGTAAGGACAGTGGTGTGTGATGGGTCTGCCTGCTTGTCACAGGAAGAGCTGATCTGAGGCCAGAGAAAGAAAACTGGCCGCAGTGATTTTTAAGCATTTACAGCGTTCCTGGATGAAATGGTTGTGTGTAAAATACTTAAGCAGAATGCATGAACACGATGTTAGTTCTGTGTGGGTGTTGTATAATGGTCATGTGTAGAGGCAATGAACATGGTGTAAGTGGGTGCATTGTTAGCAAATAGCAGTAAGCACCACCTCAACCTAAAAGTGTTTTGCAAATTCAAGCTGCCTGCTTGGTCAGTATTGTTATTCCCCTTCTGTGAGGGGTGAAACCAGAACTCGGTATGTGGCGCTGACTTGTCACTGAGCTGCAAGCAGGACCTGGGCTTGAACCTGAACTCTGCTGTTCCTGGTTGGATCCGGAGGGGTTGAGATTCCGGCTCTTGGATTCTGACTCATGCCTCAACAACGCAAGGGGCGAGGGGAACTTCTCGAGTAAGAAGAGCTCTCATACCCGTCTCACTGAGTCATTTTCCTGACAGGAAATATGTTGTCATGCTCGCAGCTCCTCTGGCACACGTTCAGCCCAGCTCTTGTGAAGAGGCAGATTGTGTGCGTCTCTGCTCCGGACTTCCTATTTGGGGGTGGAAGGAGACAGCATGATTTGCAGGAGGCGAGTGGAAAGGGGGAGGGAGGAAAAAACAGGCACTGGCTTTATAGGGGGAAATGTTCAGAAATAGGGGCTGTGCAGAGGATTGACAAGTCCCCCCATGAGCCTTTGCCCTTCTGCAGTGCTGGCAAACAAGCGGTTGTGATAGCCTGAGCAGATGAACGGCTCCTGTATCATTATACAGTGATGAATTATTGGGGCCAGATTCACAACACGCACCTCAGCAAGGTTTGTCTCAGTGCAGGATTCATCACAGAGACTGAAGCTGGGAGGATGTTCTCCCGGGGTTGCCCAAGGGCTTGCAGGCATTCACCAGTAGGTTGTAGTCTTCAGTAGGGGATGTCCCATCCTGGCTAATGGGGGTCTGACAAAAGTGGTGAGCAGTGGGGAAACAGCAAAGGAGAAAGAATAATATATGGCCCAGGTCTCCTCTGCTAAGCTCTAGGTAGTAGAAGTGCCAGAGGAAGGAGGGACTCAGCGGCACGGATTGCTGCTGCTTGCTGGGAAAATCCCTGCTTTGTGTGTGCTTCTGGACGTGCTGTTCTGCTCTCCACCAACGCAATATCCTTCTCCTGCTGAGGCAGCGTTACGACACCCCATGTATAGTCATCTTGGGTTTTTTCAGAAATGGGAGGTAGGTGCAATTGAATCCGGATTGCCCAGGAAATGTTAGAGCAACTCTAAAAGCTGAGACTGTCAGCTGGGATCTGTGAAATGAGCACCCTGGGTTTGGGTCACACAGGCTTGTGCGAATTGATCTGGCAGAACCCTCCATGCATTTGTGTGAGGTATTTAGTGCTCTTTAAATGTTCCTCCTTTCGCAGAGGTTTTCTGTACAGGATGGTTAGAGCCCTTGCAGACTGCTGCAAGAACATAAGTGTCAAAGGGGGTGATGCATGTGGAACATGATCAATTAAAATACATTTCTTCTGCAAATCCACTGTAGTGTACGCATTTAATTTTTCTGCAGGTGTGTGGGTGACAGACCCACTCTTCAGTTCAGAGCTCCTTTTTTGTTCCGTGGACATCATAAACCACTTTGGGCTGTCAAAACGTCTTCTGTTATTCATGATGGGTTTGGATGGCTGTTTGTACTTGGATGGAGGGGTAGCCGTCTGTGCAGCCCTCTGTTACCCTGCAGGGTTTCCTGGAACTGGCACCAAAAGGCAACTGGAGCTTGTTTCACCCTTGCAAAGTCATAAATACAGAGCACTGTGGGACACTGGACAAGCTCTGATAATATTACAGCATTTTGGCTCCCATTTTCGTCTTGGAGTAGGGAACGTAGCTAGGGGGAGCAGAGCAGAGGTTATCCAGAGAGAACGCAGAAGGGCTGTGCACAGCGAGGCCATGGACATGGGTAACTGCCACTGGGGAACCTGGCTCCTGGGATAGTTAAGATCTGTAAATTGGTAGGGATTTGTCATTTCAGCTGGATCTTTTTCTGTGCTTTGCAATAATGGTCATGTAATGCTGTATTGTCAAGACCTGCTCTCTCTCCAGCCCAGGCTGTCATGGGGCTGGGGAAGGCTGGAGGCAGAGGCAGGAGTCCTGTTTGCTGCTGCTTCTCCTGCCTGCCTCTGCAGTCCTTCCCGGGGGAGCAGCATGGTCAGCAACACTGACCAGGGACTGCCCAAGCCAGGGGTACTGACTCGGCTGAGTCCTGAGCTCTCTGAGCTTACAGAGGGGATAGTCAACGCTTCCTAAATTTCAGCTATAAACCACCAGCACTGCTCTGGCTATAATGCCGACAGCCTTTCCATCCAGTTCAGCCAGTATGGCTGACAATCTCCCTGGTGGTGTGTCAGAAGCTTCAGCATTGTACTTCACCTTACTTCGTATTGGAGAGACAAATCCACAAATTTTATTTCCCCCCCCCAAATTTTGCCAACAGCACTGTGGCTCGCAGCATCTGTTCTTTGAGCTCTGCTGTTTCTGCTGTGTATGGAGGCTGGTGCTGAGACAAAATCATTTGCTGAAAGGGAGCCGCAAGCTAGAAGAGGAAAGAAATATGATCTGAGTAGTTTAGAGTAAAAGACTTTAAGTCTGAGACTGAATTTGTGCCTGAATCATTCCATATGTGTGGGCAAATCTCTTTTGGTCTTGAGAAAATATGTGATCTGTAGTGCCTGGGTTTAAATTCCTTACTTGTGACCTTTGGAACATTGTTTGCAATGGTACTTTGGGTCTTCTGCTTTCTTTGCCTGGAAATAAGGCTTAGATCTCTGTGCTTGTGTTGTAGGAACCTTAATGAGCCCAGATGTTCTGCTATCCAGAGAAGGATAGCAAAAACTGATGAACCCAGTTTTGGTCTTACAATGATTTCTTTGGCTCTGCTGAAGTCATATAAATATACACTGTCTGAAAAGAGATGAAAAAAGTCAGACAAAGAACATAACAGCTAGTATGAATACAGAATAATGTTATTTTCTTGTTTCCAAACAAGGCTGGCCTATGTTAGATATCAGCTTATTTAGAAGATGTAGTTGTGCTCCTTATTCCATTTTTCTCTCTTTGCTAACCAGGCTGCTCTTCCATTTTCCAAGAGCTCCCAGCTTTCCCAGGGTGAGGGCTGGGGAGAGGATCACAGTTAGGATTATTGTCCTGGGGAATCAGAAAACCAGAAAAATATTGCAGCCAGGAGAGGATGAGCAGCCTTGTGCTGATTATCCGAAGGACCCACCTAGTGTGAACAGGTGACCACTGGGCATGAATAGCCCTTTGGTGGGAGGAAGCGTTGTGTTTGCATAGTAAACTCCTCTGACAGTTCCCTTGGGGGCTATCAGACAGGCTGTGTGGTAGGATGAGCTCAGAACTGGGGCCAGATTCTGCCCAGAGTGACACCCCAGCATGGCAGGCAGTGACTGTAAGGCAGCCAAGAGCCTCTGTCCTGGGAGTTTTATTTCAGGCTTTGCAGTTATTTGCTGGATTGTGAGCATCTTTTACACTCTCCCATACCAGATGCTCTCAGGTGCTGATTTTGTCCCTTCTGAAGTCAGCTCCGAAGTGCCAGATGTCACCAGTGTTTCTGCATTCAGGTGGTGGCTAGAACAGTGAAGTTCTGACCGCAGTGAGCAGAAACTGGGGACTGGCTCTAGAGGTCAGAGCTGCCACCTGTACCCTCTTTCCCGAGTGCTGAGCTGTGCTGCGTGTGTGTCTCACACTTAGCAAAGAGGCAGAGCAGTTACTTATGGCCAGGGGAAATTTGCAGATTAATAAATTACTGTCTGTAAAACACTTTGAAGATGGAAAGCCCTGTGCAGTTCCTCAGGATTATTACTATATAGCTCTTATTCTACTGATGGAGTTCCAGTGGCCTTATTTTCCTTAGGATTTGTGACAGCCCCAGAAGCTGAGAAGCTTATTTTAGTGTGTAAAGTCAAAAGAAAAATAGATTAAACTGCATTATTGTTTTCTAAAGAGACTAAATCCCTCCCCCATCATCTTCTCCTGGGATTTCCTGACTTCCTCCTACTCTTCCAATCTCAGCTTCTTGCTGTCCTAATTTAGGACATGATTTTATAACCATCTATACCCATCTGTGAGTTACTGCGGTTGTAGAAGTTTATGGTGCTTGGGGGCATCAAGTTATTCAATGCTGAGAGTGTGGAAAGGTGCGTAGCCCTGAAGTGGATGGAGATAAAACCTGCAGAGCAGAGATGTGTAACCACAGCTGCCAGCCTTCCTCTGCACCAGCCAGAGTCGTGCCCATGAAGGAGATAAGACCTCACGTCTGCTTCTTGTCAGCTGAGGAGATAGGTTGTGAAGGGTGAGTTTTGTGCAGGCGTCAATGTGATGTGACCCATCTGCACTGAAGTGCAGAAACGTGTGGGGAAAAGCTGCCAGTTTTGGGTGTGTGGCTGATGTGATATTGGATGGTCATCTTTACTCCGCTGTGTGTATCTAACAGGGCATCGGGACATCAGGGACGTGCCTCCTGCCCTCCTTATCCATCATGTCCCCCTGCTGCAGCAGCACGGTTGTGTGCTCAGTCTCATATGTTTTATTGCACACAAGTGACTGCCAGGCTCGTAGACCCTTACAGTGCATTTTACTGCCTGCTGCATTTTTGCAGTTCCTGTCCTCCTCTGAGGACAATTTCTGCAGTGGGTTTTTTTATGCAGACATCCCTCTGGATGTTTGTGGTGGGCAGTGTAGAATTGTTGACTGTATTTTAAAGCAGGCAACAGAGACCCTGGCTAAGTGCAATAACTAGGCTGCATGGGTTTAACTAAGCAAGCCTGTGGCAGAGCCAGGAGTTGAGCCTAGACCTTGTCAAGTCCCATTCTGATGACCCAGGCACACAGAAGAGCCCCTGCCAGTTTGAGCACAGCTTTATGGTAGTTCTGATCAGGTAAACTTCCTTTTCACGCTGCCTTTTCTACAGATGATTTTGCAACAGGCCATTCCATTTCCTCTGTCTCTTCCTCTCCCGTGCTGTGCTGGTTTGCTTCATACAGCAATTTCTTCAATGGGGTGGGATGGAAAGTAGCTATTTGCTCCTTTTCTCCTTCAGGCTTTGAAGCAGTTCATACCCCCACCTTTATCGTTTTGATCTCAATTTTTTTTAAAAAAAAGCCTCCAGGAAAACATGTCAAGCTTGCTAGAGAAAACTGAGCACCTTTTTCTTGTGTTTGATTTTTTTTTGTTTGTTTGTGTGTTTGGCCCAGTTGCTGGAAGTAACCAAAATACTCTTTGCCACATGCAGTAAACACAGCTTTATGCACAGAGAGAGCATAAAGGTATGGAGCTCTCTGTGGAGGAATTTTAAGAGACACAAACATCAACTACCCCTCCCTATCTTATAGCCTGTGTTTGATTAGATAAGGAATCTCAGAGTCAGGAGCTATGGGCTTCATTACAGAATCATTGTTTTTTGGATATCGTGCCTTGTCTGCTTCCTTGAACTCAACAGAAGTTTATGTAGTCAGCTTGTTTTTAATGAATTTGGCAGAGAGGCAGATCATACCTGTTTAAACTGGGCTTTCAGGATCTAAAGTTAAACAACCACCCTGTATAAGTGCTTTTGGAAATAGTGAGTTGTTCTGCAACAAAGGCATTTTCCTTCTCCCTTTCTCAGCTGTCCTATCTTTTAAATTATGAAAGAAGTTGGGGGAAGATAGAATGAGAGAGATTGAGACTCCATCCTTGTGTGCAGCATCCAGTGGAGCTGCTTCTATGGGGGCATCACAGCTCAGTGGCAACACAGGATGAATGTGGTGAGGCCTGGGAGAAGCGTAAGGTGGTGTCACTGGTGCCAGTGCAGTAGAACTGGGTGGGTGCGGGTGGGCTCTGCGCTGTGCGGCGGAGCCAGTCACGGTGGCGTTTGTGCCAGGACCACTTCCACTTTCTCTGTTGGAGAGGCAGTGGGAGGAAGGCAATGAGGTTATGACAGGTCCTTTTTGGTGTGTTTCCTCTAGAATTCAGAGTATAAATTCCTGCAGAGTTTGTGCAGCTCCCAGGCTGAGCCTCCAAGGCAGCATTGAGCTACGACCAGTTTTTAGGCATCCTCTGACCGCTATAGCTCCTGCGGAGATAGTGGGAGCGAATGGGGAGAGCTAGCTGGGTTTGGCCAGAGCTAATCCAAGTTCTTGGTCATTCCCACCAATTTCAGTGTGTTTGGGTCTGTCCCTCTTCTCCCAGTTCAGAGAAGGTGTTCTCATTTGTTTTGCTCCACGTTACCCTCCCTTTGCTGTGTTGTAGTCAGATGGGATGCCGACCGCTGCCCTGCCACGCTGCCTAACTGCTCAGCTGCTGAGCAGAATGCACAGCCGGGGAGCATGGGGCGCTCCTGTGCAGGATGCATGTGCGAAAGGAAAATCGCAGACGCAGTGGAAGAGTGGGTGCTCCTGGCACTGGTGTAAATGGAAAGCGCACCCACTCGTGGCTGCTGGCCACAGCTGGTACCTCCTATGCTCACAGCGCAACTCCTCCATTCAGCACGGCTTCCTCTGCCGCTTCTCACTGACTGCTGTGCGCTTGGAAGAGGGGGAGGGATTTTTTTAAGGTAGCAATGATTAATTCTCACCTAATTGCTTTGCACAACCAGCTTTTTCTGCCTTATTGATGCTGATTCTTGCATCAAGCTAACCACTGGCCTGGCCGTGCTCCCCGGGTGAAGGCTGACTCACGTCAGCTTTGCTTTAAGATAATGCAGCAGGGGCGGCTGAGGAAAGAAAGTAGGAAGCTGTTGAGATAGCGCAGCCCCATCTGTGCTGCTGCTGAAGTGGCGTGGGGAAGAGGGGTCTGCCGTGTCATTCAGCTGACAGCAGTGATGGCTGCGTCTCCTGCTGCCGATGCAAGGGTCCCAGCCTGCATGCAGGGCAGACCCCCTCCCAAAATTAGAGAAGATTAAGAAAGGTGCATGATTTGGCAAATGGCAGGGTAATTTGGGCTGGCATGATAGATGGCCTCTCATAAGGATGGCTCTTTATTATTTCTTAAAAGAAATTTTATCTTGGGGAAGCCTTTATTTGTAGCCCCAGGGGAGGGAAGGAGGGTGGAGGTGTTGTGGGCTGGTAGAGTTTTGGCGGTTGAGAATTTTTTTTAAATGGAGGCACTTAAAATGACTGCACAGAAATGCCAAACTGTGGCATTTCGTGATGTGGCCTTAGTCTGGCTTGCTTTTTTGTTCCATGTCTCCTTGAAAAATCCAAATAATTGCACCAGTTCCATCTCTGTTTTCATTGTGTGGTTGCTTGTAACGGGTGCTGCAGAAGCTTTTCACTTGTGTGTGTATTCAGAGCTCTGTTCTGAAGGGGGTGAATCAGTGCAGTAAGTGAAAGGTTGGGAAAGGTTTCCAAATATGTGTGGTTTTGCCTTTATGCATCTGAGCAACATAATTTTTTTTTTCCTCTAATTTTCTACTTTGCATCTGGAGAAGCCACTTCTTTCAGCTTTGTTTGGCTTCTGAGGAGGAGACTGTTTTGGAATACCTGGTGTTTAGGGGTATTGTAGCACCAGATACAGAAATGGGAGAGATCTGACTATTTCTGTAACAGAAGAGGTTTCTGTCCCTTGATACCCCTATGAACGCAAACTGCAACATACAATCCAGGCAAGGAAAACATTTGCAGTTAACTTTGCCAGTTCACCTGGTTCACAGTGTGCATCAGGGAGAAGCAGTAGCTCACCAGCCTGCTCGTATCTTTATCTCAAGGCACATGAAATCAAGATGGGCATCCTTACTGGGATCTTCCTGTCTGCGCTTGCTCTTCCAGTGCTGGAGGTGGGTGTTTACTTTTACCATGCAGCTTCCCTCCAGGCTGTATAATCCTTGTCACTTTTCCCAAGCAAGGCTGTGGAAGCAGGACCGTTTCTTGCCCTTTTTTCTGCATTGTCTGTCACGGGTAGGTCTGATGGGTCACAGACTGCCTCACTGTGTGATTACAGAGCACCCAGCAGTAAGAGGGGTCAGCTGAGGCATCTGCAGTACACCTCATTGGTAATGAGAAAGATGGTGCCTTTCCAAAGTGTTTTGCAGAGGCGTTTCTAGGAAGATGCATTTGTGGAATGGTGGATTTTTAGAGAATTTTGTCATATCCTCCGTGTGTGTAGCGCTCCATTTGCATGGGAGGAACCGTGGAGTTACATATAGCTACCCGATCTCTTCACTAGTTTCCATTTGTTAGTGAACCTCTGAAGTCAGAGTATGAATGATGATCCTGCTTGATTTAATCAGGAGCTGCTCTTAACTCCAGCGGCTGTTTTGTGCAGGAAACATTTCAAAAGAGAAGAAACTCACTTCCTAGGCTCAGCCAGTGAAAACAAGTGTGAGTTGCTGCAAATGGGCACAGCACTGTAGAAGTTAGTGCTGTTTCTCACAGTTAAAGCTGGGTCCTTGCATCTGTCTTCAAGTGCTTCTTCAAATATTGTTACTGAAGTCAGGATATTTCAGTACATGTGTGTGTGTATGTATATATATATATATGTGTGTGTGTGTGTGTGTGTGTGTGTTTTTCATAGTGTGAAGTCATGCCACTTTTTCAGGCTATTTCCAGTTTAGACTGACATGTGATGTTAGCAGCAAAAAGGCTCTGAATATCCAATAAAGGTTAAAATAGTGGAAGGGGCACAGCACGGCTGTGCACAGTTGCAGGGAGCTGTGGGATGCAAATAAAATTATTGCAATAATAATGTGAGCATCCCCTCCATTTTACACATGTGTGGGGAGTGCAGCCAGCTCTGTGGGCTTGACCCATCTGCTGGGGTCTGCCACAAAAGTGACACAGTGGTAAAGGATGTTGTTGGCACAGGGAGAAGAGTTACATCACAACCAAGGAGGAAGCTCACAAAGCTGTGTGTGAGGGATGCCCTTCAGTCCCCTCAGTGCTATGTCAGGCAGAACCAGCTGTCTCAGGCATAAAACACCCCAAAAAAATCAAAATAGCAGTACCGCTGTCAGCATGGCATGGGGAGGTGGGAAGTTGTGCAGAGAGCCACAACTTCTGTCCTCGGTGTTTTATGCATGAAAGAGGTCTCACTCCAGCCCGTGGTGTTTCTGCCAAGTCTGCTGTGTGCGATGGGCTGTGGCTTTGCTCCCTGAGCCCTCGGAGCCGTGCTGGGCTGGCTTTGCCCTGGCAGCCAGGAGGACTCCTTGCCCACAGGGTGACAAGCACAACCTGTGATCTCGAGCTGCACGGCTGCTCCTGCGGTCTGCGGTGTAGCTGCAGCTGCTTGTTACCGGCGTGGTTATGTGTTGTGGTTGGGGTTCAGCTCAGGCATGCAGCTCCCCAAGGCAGGATGCACATGGGGAGCCTTAGGACTAGCAGTTTGGTGTGACAGAGTTCCTGAAGTCAGGCGAATTAGCCAGGTCTGAGGCAAAATCTCCAGGTACATACAGCTCTTATAGTAAAGAACAACAGTCACCTCTTCCCCAGCCAGGAAGACAAAGCCCCTACATTGATCTTGAGTAATCTAGGAAGGAAAAAAAAATAAAATAGTTGCATTTATTTTCAATAACTCATTTAGGTAGAACGGATAAGTAGTTTTACAGTGCTGATTTATGAGCTGTTGCAAAATGCAAGAGCTGTTCATGATTGCAAATTTCATTGATCTTGACTCCAACAATTTCAGTACAGTAATGTTTTATGTAGTTTTCTTCTTCTCCAGCCCTGCCATTTGAAATAATAAGGACAATTTGCCTTTACGCAGCCCAAGAGGAGACAGCAAAGTCAGGTGCCGGGAAGAGAACCCAGGTGTCCTGATTTACAGACCCAGGTCTGCTCCTTCCAGAAGGAGAGCCTTTCTTTATTAAAACAAACGCGCCCCCCTCCATGAATCAGTGCTTTATCATGCACTTAGCAGGCAGTCTCTGACAGGCATGTCTCATTCACCATTCTGTGAAAACTTGACCATGCCTAATCCAGTAGTTTGACCCCACCAGCATAAAGCAGCATTCTGATTCCAGTTGCCCTTGACCACAGTGGTGACTGGTGACTCTGCCATGGTATAAGGCTTTCAATAGTGGTTTGGTCTTTCAGAATTGAGCCTTGGCACTGGCTGTGGTAGCAGCTCTACTGGATAATGGTGTGCAGTTTTGAGAGAAATACCTATATGTTGCTTAGATGATGAGCAATGGCACTTTCCAGCCCTTTGGGTTTGGGGTTCCTACTAGCAAATGCTTGTACATGGGGGTAGCTTCACTACCTCTTCCAATCCCAATTCGCTGTCTTCCTCCAGAAGTAGCACTCTGTCATACGGGTATTTGGCATACCATAGGAGGAGCAGTGCAGCTTGCATTTACATTTATGTGTAAACCTGCCAAAAAACATTTCTATTCTTACTGGCCCAGATTCCTCCTCGCTGTGACTAACCATTGCTGAGCCACAGGAGTTAGCATTGCTGCATTTAAGCACTGTGGGCCTGTCTTCTCAAAGGTTTATCTCTTTGCTTTTTTTAATTAAATATGAATTTGGGGCTAAGCTACATCCTACTCTCTATTTAAGGAAGATAAAATGCCAGAAATCCTGCTTTGGGTCTGTGAAGTCAGTTCAGAAGAATTGGGCTCAAAGAGCATATTGTATTCTGCTTTTCCTCTCTGTCCGAGTTCTAATATCTGCAAACTGGAGAGGCTTTGCAGTGTCTTTTCTAGTGTGCCTGTGATATGCTGAGACACTGCTCCAGGGGACTGCTGCAGGCAGCACACCCCTCTCCTGTTTGACTCATTTTGGGCTCTCGGACGCCAGGCTGCCCTAGCTAGTGCCTCCCAGCAGCTACAAGAGCTGTGCTGGGAAGCATGCCATGCCATGCGCTGTCTGGGCAGCGTGGGAAGACAGGAGATGCAGTGACAGCTGCTGGCAGTGCAGGTTACTCTCAGGTTTGCTGATGCCCTGGTACTGTGCTTTGCTTGCACCAAGTCCCTTTGTGACTGGGCATCCTGATGGGTAGGAGGAATGGGGTGGAAGGGAGCACTTGGAAGAGAAATGGGTTTTGACTGTGCTGTCTGTCCTGAAACTATTCACTAATAACAAGAATTAAAAAAAAAAACCAACCCACCAAACACCAACAGAAAACCCCAACCAACTTTAAAAAAGGCACTGCACAGCTTTTTTTCATGCTGCCCAGTTCCTATGTTGGCCTGAGTCTGCTGTGAGCCACACTGAGCCTGTTGAACTATGCTTGGGGATTGCACTTGGGGGCTGCCTGGGGATCCCCAGGAGAACCTGCCGCCATCTCCTCCATACTGTCTCTTCTGCCCCTCAGCCTCCCTTCCCAAATTTCACTGTAAACAGTTGCTATGTGTCACTTCTTAGTGCTTTTATTCTTTGTGTTATCATAGCACACACAGGCACCACATCAATCTATCACAGGAAGGAAAGTCCTCGCTCCCAGGACCCACAGTCCGGCTGCTTCTGACAGGGACAATGGCCCATAGCTCCAAGGGAGGATTGATGTTTGCATTGTTAATTTTTTCTTCTTATTTCAACACCTCTATTTCCTGTCACTGTGCATGGATGCAGATACACCTCTAGCATTGTTTTCATCCAGATTTTATCTTCCCACACAAGATTATAGGGTTGGATTTTCTTGGAAGTCTCTCGGTGTTGTGCAGGAATATCCTGGTTTTATCCTATTGTCCTGATGGGGGATAAATAAATTGGAAGAAATGTAGAAGGTGTACAAATGAAAGTCGAGGCTTGCAGGTTCTCTAGAAATGAACACAGTACTCTTGCCTTTTCTAAAGCAGAGTGAGTTTGCTGCCACTGACAACACTACATTTTTGTCTCTGATTTTAATGGGGACAGGGCGAAGTGTGGGGAACATGGGCAGGACTGTTCTTCTCCTGCAGACATTCAAGCTAAGGTACCTTGTTCTTCCTGGCTGCAGAACGCTGTGATGACTGGGGTGTGGATACCATGAAGCAGATCCAGATTTATGATGGAGAACCTGCCAAGATCAAATGCCCACTTTTCGAGACCTTCTTGAAGTACAACTACAGCACAGCCCATTCTGCTGGTTTAACCCTCATCTGGTACAGGATTGGGCAGGACCGGGATCTGGAGGAGCCCATTAATTTTCGTCTCCCAGACAATCATATCAGTAAGGAGAAAGACACTCTTTGGTTCTGGCCTGCTCTTCTCAACGACACTGGGAATTATACGTGCATGCTCAGGTAGGTTGTGCAGTGCGGCTCCTGTATGTCTTCAGCATAATCGAAGGACTTTCATAGAGGCGGGAAAATTATGCTGTTAGCACCGGATCTTTCTGTAGGGAGAAGACCATTTACATAACCATTAATGGGAAAAGAATGTTACAATTATAAGACCGCTCAGTGCTGAGCCAATTTACATCGTAATAATGCTTGGAGCCTTGCAAACGTTAATGAGCATGCCTCTCTGCAAGCTGCAAGTGTCCATGAAAATATTGCTGAGCCCATGGCAAAATCCACAGGCGCTCACCATTAAGAAGTGATCTGTATGTCTAGAGTAAAAATAGCTTCAGATGCAGGGGTAATGTTTTGACTGCATGCTAATTTGGCAAAGATTCATGAGATTCAGACTTCTAGGAAATTAGAAGTGTCTCTAAGTGTGGTACAAAATGAACGTAGCATCTGCTATGCACTGAACACAAGAGCTCTTTTTGATCTTCCTCACATTGTCTCTTGTTCATTGTGCCTTTGACCCTATTATCTGCTTTACCAGCAGGGGAGTGGATGTTGCGTGTTAGTCATCTTTATAGGCTTTCCTGAGCTAGTGTGGCCATCTCTGATGGTGTTTTCTTTCCAATTTATGAATGAGTCAACTAAGGCTGTATATACCTCATCAGTGCTATGATGCTCATTATTGCAGATGTGATTTTTGTTTCATTCCACTGTTACAGGAGTAAAAAAGTTTCAACTAACCAGCCCTATCCTCCTCTGTCCTTAGAAATACAACCTATTGCAGCAAAGTGGCATTTCCCTTGGAGGTTGTTCCGAAAGACCAACACTCTTGTGTGAGTCATTTGATAAAACCCACTGAGGAGATGTTCTACTTGGAACACACCAATGAGATCATATGTCCAGATATTGATGGGTTTTACCCTGCTAGTGTAACACCAACTGTCAAGTGGTACTTGGTAAGAAGGACTTATTTGGGCAGTGGGGGAGTGTGGTGGTGTATCTGAAAAAGCAATGGTTGGCATGAGAATCATGGAGCTATGTTTCAGAGCCTTCCCAGTGATGAAGCTGTTAAAGAAGCTTTACTAATTTTAAGAGCTTTGTTTCTGCTGAGTTCAAGGGTAAAACTGCTCTTGGAAGGGCATTGAGAGCTAACAAAGTTTTCTGAGCAGCGTGCACAAGTGAAGAACAGGAATTAGGGATTTAGGAACCTCAGTTCTGCTGCTGGCAGTATACCTGACCTCCTGTGTTTGCCAATCACTATCCCTGTAAAGAAAACTGTGATTCATATTCCCTCTTCTGTTTAAAAAGAAAAAAAAAAAAAAAAAAAGCAACAACCACCTGCTAGCGAAGATAGCACCCTTTCCAAAATCCTTTGAGGTGAGGAAATGAAGTTGTACATCATGCCTCCGCAAGGACTGCAGGTGCCCTGTTTGACACAATTCAGCAAACCTCTTTTCTGAAGATGGAGACATCCCTGCCCCAGCCTCCACACTGCTCTGATAATTATGCTGTCTCCAGCCATCCTCAGGCTCTTGCCTACAGAATTAGTGCTCAATTTTATTAAATTTTGACCTCAGTATTTTTCTCTAGGTGGATGCCTTTAGTCAAGAGAGAATAAGAATTCTCAGGGGATGTGCAGCCCGAGGGTTATGTGACTGAATTCTCTAACTGCTTATAAAGTGCTTTTGGATTTCTAGATAGAAGGTTCTGTATGAGTGAATTTAATAACAAAAGTAAGTTGGCAACAAATATATCTGCAGATTTAAAAAAAACCCAAACCAAACAGTAAAAAAACACCCCAAAAGAAAAAACCCAACTCTGAAACCCTTCAGGAAAAACTTACTTTTGTATCCAAGAGGAGCAGTTTCACTTCAGTAGTTGAAATGCTTTACTTGTACCATTCATTGAAATTCACATCTCAGCAATCAATTAGCAGAATGAAACGGAAAGCCCCATGGAAGTAATTTTTCAGGCAGCAAGTCATCCCATGCCTAATAAAAATCATTAAAAATGGTATATGACCCTGTCTTAAACTGCCCCATTAGGATATATCTAATTTGGAAATGTACCGTTCAGAAATAATCTCTTAGAAAATGTGCCCATCTTTGGGTTTTATGACAATCTGCATAACCCCTTTCTGAAAAGGGATCTCTAGCTTGGTACTTGGCAGAGGTTTCCTGCCTCACCTGACAGAAAAAGAAGAGTTATTAAGGTTTCTGTACTACAGACTCTTGTTTGCCAATTGCCAACTTTGCGGCCTCATCCTCAGCTGAAGTAGTCAGGGTAGCTTGATTAGTCCCAAAAGAGTTAGACATGCTGACATCAACAGGGGACGTGTCCTTTAGCCTTAGTATCCATTTGTGAATACATCATCATTTTTTTCCTGTCTCTTTTTATGTTCACTGTTCACTCTGCTGAGGTGCTTACCTTGATTGCAAATTTACTTCTGAATCAGAGATCTCTCTTTTTATGAAATTGTCTGTATTTAAGGTGGGATAAAGCTATTAGGGTCATCTGCTTCATCACCTGATTTTAAAGATGAACACACCAGTTTATTATTCCAGCATGCTCAAAGTTCGTGGTATTTAGGTCCAACCTACATCAAAATCCCAAGTATCATATTCATAGTTTAAGACCAGACCTTTGTAGTAGCATTTAAACCAGTATCTTTTGAATCCCAGAACTCAAGTATTTTTCTGCCTGACTCCAGAACTGCAACTTGGTGGATGGCTTCTATGAGCGATACCCCCAAGGGCCCAGGCTTGTCATCGGCATTGTCCGCAGTGCATATAAAGGGAATTACACTTGTATTGTGACATTCAAGGACCACGGAAGAACCTATAATCTCACCAGAACCATAAAGATGAAGGTGGTGGGTAAGGATAACTTTAAAATGTCTAAAATGCAGGTGGCTAACTGCAGAAGTGGTAAAAATGGCTAGAAGGGTCTGCCACAGGATCCATTTGTGGTTGTGCTCAATCTTCATTACCCAACTGACCTGGTATATTTTGGCTTGCAGTGGTCAGCCTCGTGTGACTGCCCAGAACATGTTGCACTGGAGGTCCTACCCACCACCATATCAAATGCCCCAAACAACACAGAGTGACCAGGCTTAGGCTGCTGAGGTATAGCCCATGAGATGGCCAGGGGTACCCTCTGCTGGCATGTGAATGCATAACCCTGGCACTCTTGCTCATTTTTGTTTCCAGTGCCCTTGTCCCCATTTGCTTGTGAGATTGTCCCATTGTAGGCAACTTGCCTCGGTTTTACTGTGACCTCAAAGCTTTGTGTGCTGAGTCCAGGCAGGACTCCAGTTACCCAGACCGGTGCTTGGGCAGGTCTGTCCCAAGCACAAGGGCTCAGCCTACCTGCCAGGGAATTGTAGACAAAGCTTAAAAACCTAGTGTACAATAGAGCACATGCTGAGTCCCATGGCAACCACTGCTTTAAGAGCTTAATTAAATACTTGTGGCAGGAAAAAATGTTTGTATTTTGTTTTTTAGAAGCAGCAGTAAAAAGAAACTGGTACAGGTTGTGCCTTGTGGGAGATGAGAAGCCCGAAAATTTGTATCTCAACTCATCTAAACTTTGGAGTAGCCTCAAAGTCTGGGTCTGACCCTGAGTTTGTGGACTGGGATTAGATTTCTCTTTGCATGGAACTCTGCAGCAGAATGGTATCACAAAGTAGATTGGGGCATGTGCAGCAGTGTGTGAGGGTATCATGAGTGAGGCTGCAAGGACCCCGGTTTCTCATGAAGTCTGGGTCCCCATGGGGGGCTCTCTGTTCTCTCCCACAGGATCTCCAAACAAGGCCTTGCCACCACAGTTCACCTCTCCAAATGAGAAAGTTGTCTATGAATTGGAAGCAGGTAAATCGCCACGCTCGGTGCCTGCTGTCGTTCCCCTGGCATCCTGGCACAGAGGCTGTCCCTTCCACTGCATCCCTGATGCCTTCCCCTGCAGAGCACACAAGATGCCACAAGTTGCCTGACAGACAGTTTGGGGTGCCAGTCCTCAATGCTAGGAGAGCACATTTAAAAATGTTTGCTTTTGCAGGCACAAATAAAGATAGCTATTCACACAGAGATGCATGACTGCAGCTGCAGAAGCAGTTGAAACAGGGACACTCAGCTGCTTAGAGAAATTCCTGTAGGGCCCTCTCTCAGTGCTGCCCCTGGCTGTGGTTTGCTCCACCTCTCCCTTTTTGGCTGATGACTTCCTAATTAACGGCAGCTTTCCTTTTGCTGGTGTTGCATCATTTTGTAATGGGGTGCCACACCTCTTCCCCCACCACATCCGTTTAGAGGATAGCTCTTTGGAGCAATTCCCTGTACTGAGTGGATTGTGTCCCATTACACTGCTGTAATAAATGTGGTGCCAATGATGACAATTAGCAGCAGAGTCTTCACTTTAAAGTACAGCTTTTTTGGCTCAGAAGGTCAGACTTCTTCCATAGTCACTCTGTAAGATAAAATCACTTACGGGCTGATCACAATGATATTGATGCTCCCAAGCTTGATTTTGTGGGGAAGTTAAATGCCTGAACAAGTGTTCCCACACCAAAATGCTTTTGTGGAGCTGGATCCTTCGCTTTATGGCATCTGTCCCCTGCACAGTGGGGATAATTAACACTGCCCAGCTTTTCAGGGATGTGGTTGGCATGGAGTGTCTCTCTTTGGATGGGTCTCTTCGTGCAGTCAAGGAATTTGTAACATATTTAAGAAGGCAGAATATTTTTCCTGTTTATTTGCCTGTCACAAATCAATGTGTCTGGGGTGTTATCAGATGTCTGAAGGCAGATGATGGCCTCATTCCCTCCTGAAGGGAGGCAGAGCTTAGGTGGTAGGATCACTGGAAAGCACAAAGTCAGGGTGATGCTCTTCATGCTTTGCAATACCTCACTGTGGTCCTTTGTTCCCAGGAGATGATCTCATTCTATCCTGTGAGGTCTTCTTTACCTTCCTGAAGGACTCCCGGACTGAGGTGTGGTGGACCATAGATGGGAAAAACACAGATGACATCACAGACCCCAAGATAAAAGTCACACAAAGGTAACATAGTAATGTGAACCTTCATTTGTGTGGAAGCCTCTCTTGGGTCCTGCAGAGGGGTGTTGGTACAGACAATCCTATTTTCCTTTGTAAGGGAGTGTGGAGCCCCCCATTTCCCTGTTAATCAGAAACCCCTGTGTCTGCACCATGCCATGATGTGCACCAGGAGCTCCAGGGAGGAGGCCTCCAGACCCGGACAGTGTCTTGTCTTACAGAAGGATTTGAGGGAGCTTTGTTTACCAGTTCGCATCATCACTTGTTCAGGTCCTGGTGCTATTGTGGGACTTCTAAAACAGGGACAGACACAATTTTATTTAGAGGAATGTTCCCAAATAGTATATGATAGAAATGTTTCAAAAAATGGAGGCTGAAACCAAAAATGTAGTATTAGACATAGTATTGATTAGGAGGAATAGAGATTCAGTTACATGAAGAACCCAAATGAGGTTCAGAGTCCCTTTTGCCAGGTGCCGAATTAACACGAGGAAGGAAGTTGCTGCCCCAATCAATTTGCAAACCTACGTAGAAAAAGGAAAGGCAAAAGTACTGTTATCCCCGTTTTGCAAATGATCAGTTCAGGCAGAGACACACAAAGTGGCTCATTCAAGATTGCACAGGGAATGTGGTGTGGGCTCTGGATCCCAAGTTCCGGAGATCCTGTTGCTTTGTAGGCAAGAACTTCCTTTATCTCTAAAATGCAACGTGACACGGCTGCAATGAGAAAATTATGTGTGGCAAAATAAATATTAAGGAAAATCAGATAAAGGAACAGCTGCAGCTCTATTAAAATCTGAAGTATGTATTGATTTATAAATAGGTGGTTTGGGTTTTCTTTTAAAGAAAGCGTTGGATTATATCAGAGAAAGGAGTATTTGTCGCTTAAAACTTGCTGCAGTTTCACATGTGTAATGCTCTAGTTTTTCTCTTACAGTGAAATTACTAGAGATTTTGAAGACAAAACTGTCATAAGGACTCTAACAGTTGCAAAAGCCACCCCAGAGGACTTGAAACGGAATTACACTTGCTATGCCAGAAATGCCAAAGGCGAGGACCATAGCCAGGCCATAGTGCGCATGAAAGGTAAAATACTTTCAGAGCATGAGTGAAATGAGGCATGCGCAGAGAGGGCTGTCGGTCCTGCCTTGAACCTTGCCTTGCAAGACAGTAGGGGAACAAATACTTCTGCTTCTCATGACTTAATGAAACTTGTTAAATTCTTTCAGTTTTCTTTTTTGTAATTCAGTTTCTAATAAAACTCATTACATCTTGGAATCTGGTGATGTTTGCACTCACTGCTGTTCTTGTATCATGGAGTTCGCTAGTGTGCATGTCAGCTGCCACCTGAATTGCCATAAAAACAAAGTTGTCCAAGGATAGTTAGAAATTGTTTTCTGTCCTTAATACAAAGAAGCAGCAGTGGTGTGACAGACACTGTATGAGTTGGAGGGGAGCCTCTGATGTTCTGGCTTGATGTCCACAGGTTGTTCTGTTTGCAAGCATTTCAGTTTTTCTGCAGAGAACTCTGATTCTTCTTTCCTGGTAGAAAACAATCAGGCCATGGCTGGTTATATCCTTTCTGTCAGTCTGGGACAAGCCACAGGAACTATGTGTTTGATGGGAAGGGAAAATGGTGGCCATGGTCTTTATTTTGCTGTAGGTGAGCTTTGGCTGGCTCTCCTAGAAGTGAGTGATGTTGTGTTGCCCCAGGAGTTTGCATATGCTACTGAGAAGGTCACATTCGTGATCTGGCTTTGGACTGTGCAGGTGGTTTCCATCAACAGGTCATTCTACCACCTGGCTGCTCCCAGGGTCTCGTTCAGAGACAGAAGTCCAGCCTGTGCTTTGACTTGCTCTGCCAGCCCAATCAGACCTAGTGACCCAGCATGGGGGCTCCAGGGTGCCCAGCCATCATGTGTCCTGCCAGGAAAGCCTTGGCTTAGCCACCTTCCTCTGAAGAGCAAACCTGGCTCTTGGCTGTTCCTCTGTGGTGTTTGGCTGCATGTTACACAAGCTTGTTCCTGCTCTAGCTGAAGGCCCAACCTGTTCTGTAAACCAGACCCCCTATTTCTTTTTGAACCCAGTTGTAGCACCGAAGTACACGGTGGAGCTGGCCTGTGGATTGGGGGCAACCATCCTGCTCGTTGTGGTGCTGATAGTCCTCTATCACGTTTATTGGCTTGAAATGGTCCTCTTCTATCGGGCTCATTTTGGAACAGATGAAACCATTCTAGGTAAGGTGTTAAAGGGCTTACATTTATTTTATCCTGCTACAGGCGAGACCTTTTTTTTATATAGGAATTTTCATATAAGTTATTTTTAACAGTCTTCACAGCATAATGACTTTTTGACCTTCCATTTCTGTACCTGCATTCAGTTGTGTGGGTTACTTTAGAGCAAGAGGAGTCAGGCTTGGGTCAGGGGAAAGGAGAGAGAAATCCTCTGTATTCTCTGCAGAGGTGAAGCATGGATGTGTCAGGCTCCTGGGGGTACTGCTCTGCTGATGGCTAGCTGTTTCATCCAGTCTAGATGGTAAAGATAAGTCATCAAGTTTCAGTAAGTCCCTGGTTTCTCTGGTGACTCTATGTAAGGATTCACAAATCCAGAGTGATTTGCTTTAAAAATGTGGAAAGCATCCAAAGGGATGGATCTGGAAATCACCCTTTTGTCCTCAGTTCTTCCACAGCTTCCTTGTGTTACTGGGAGTTCATCTCTTGGGACTCTGAGCTGAGATTTCTTTCTCTGTGCGATGAGGAGGTGTTTAAACCCTCTCAGCCTGTGGTGTGAACCTGCCAAGGGGGTGCGGTGGTTCTCAGAGGGTGTAGGCAGGGTGCAAGTCTCTGTCTGGTGGGACTGCTCATGTGGATATAGAGCAATGAGAGGAAGCAGTGTCAGAGATGTCAAAAGACAAAAGAACCCTGGACAGAACAGGTTGGTCATTTTACTGCAATCTTGTGCCTTCAGTGACCCAGCAGTGTCCGAGTACCTGCACATTCAGTCTAGGTAGTCAAAGAGGCAGCGCTGCTGTCTTGTAACTATGGGAATCAATGTGTCTTAACCTGCGCTGCCTGGGCTCAGAGTGAGCCTTCATACCTGCTTTTCCTGTGAAGCAAGTCAAAGGTTCAGCATGTGCAGTATCACAAGTGTCTCTTCTGCTGTTTGTATTTCTCTGCACTCCCCATGCTCAGATGGGAAGGAGTACGATGTGTACGTGTCCTACGCACGCAACGCGGAGGAGGAGGAATTTGTGCTGCTGACGCTGCGGGGAGTTTTGGAGAATGAGTTTGGGTACAAGCTGTGTATCTTCGACAGAGACAGCCTCCCTGGGGGAAGTGAGTATTTCACAGGGGACTGTGTTCTATGCACATCCTCTCTTTGTTGTTCTCTGAGGTACCGATAATTGATAGGAACTGCCCTATCCAGATTAACTTTACCTGTTGGTTTTTTCCCCATCTCCATTAATGATCTCTTGTTGGTATCTTCTAATGTTTTTGCTTCATGTGACAATGTCGCAGATGCTCCAGGCCACAAAAAGGCTGTGGTGGGCAAGTGGTGGTTGTTGGTCGTTTCAGTTGCTCTCCCCAGGAGTGATGTGCAGGAGTGAGTGATCTATCAACATGAGGGAACTGGACCACTGACCTTCATGCAAACCCTCTGAGCTGCCTTAAAAAGGGATAAAGTCAAGGCTAGAAAGAAGAGAGGCAGGAAGAGTGTGATGCTGGACCAGACTGGTAGTTTGCAGAGGGTAACGGTGAGTGCCTGTAAAAACCCAGGAGCGTCTGCTTCAGGGAGATGTGGAGAGCACCGTGCCAACATCAGTGAGAAGGTAACGTGCCCTCCCAGAAGGCCTCCCACACACCCTCATTAATTAGAGTCTGTGTCTAACATGGCATACAATTAAGCTGATACGATTAAGAGTACTTTTGTTGCAGGAAGTGTGATGCATCTCTTCACTAAGTTGTAGATTTTTTTTCAGTTTCAAGCTAAATTATACCAGGTTCCAGACACAGTGTCTGCTGGAGGGATGTGGGAAATCACCAGGAATAGAAGTTTGTGAAACTCTCCAGATAGGCATACGGTCTCACAGGTGCCGCAGCAAGGGCACAAATCTAGCCAACACTCTCAGTTTCCAGTGTCCTGGGAGCTGAATTGGCTGTGTGATCCCTGGTAACTGCTAAAAGTTCAAAGCCTGAACTTTTGTCAGTGCAGACTGCCCCACTTTGAAGTCACAGACTTTGGGTCAGGACCCCACTGATAACAGAACCTGTGCTGATAAAGTCCATTGGGGTCTCTTGGGTAGGACAGGAGGGACTGATGGAGTCCCAGCCCTGCTGCGTGACAGAGGGAGAAGAATCAATCTGCATCTGTTATTTTTATCTCCTAAATCATTGCCAGGACACAGAACCTCTGAGTTTGAGGACAAATAAATGTGTGCGCCTCGGGGACAGGGAGAGAGCTGCAGTCTTTACTTCTAGAGAGGGTCTGGATGACATGGCAGGGCACCCTGCAGGCTTGATTTGCTTGATGCCAGTGCCAGGCTCTGAGCAGGTTTGCTCTGAGCTGTTCTCACCAGCTGTTCCTCAAGACGTACATCTCCCTCCTGTTCCCTCTGCCACTTCTTGCCATCCTTCCCCCTTCCTTTTGGCGGGTCTTATTTTCCTTCCAGCACAGCTCTCCTGGGGTTCCTACCCTTCACCCTCACCCCCAGAGTACTCCCATCCCTGCTCTTCGTGGCAGTCACTGCCAGCCGTAATCCAACGCCAACCCTCCAGAGCACTTCTGCAGTGGCTTGTCATTGCATTGCCACTTGCAACACTGCTGGGGCTTCACTGTTGCTTCTTAGCCAGGATTTGACTAATCTCCTTCTGGGGTGGAAGCATGGTGGGCCAGTAAATAGCTTTTGGCAGCTGGTGTCATGCCTCCAGAGTGTGCATCTGTGTCACAGGTAGAGAGTTATGTTGTCTTTGATGAAGAAACAGTGGGAGATGGATTATCCTGAAAGTTTGCAGACAGGAACTAGTCAAACGTGCGTGACAGCTAAATGAAGTTGCCTGTCAGTGTTGTTTTATTCTCCATTGTGTTTTCTGACCAGTCAAGAGACTTGTCAACGAAGTGTAGGAGATTCTGCAGCAGAGAGTGCAAGCACTGAGATTCACACTTAAAAGGAATTCTCACATTAATTACAGAAAGGTGCCTAACAGTCTACCTGCAGATGTTAGAAAATCAAAGAGGATCTACAGTTACCATGACATGTCTCCAGCTCGAAGGGTGTCACTTTTGGGACACTTCATTAAAAGTCCTCAGAGCGGTTTACTTGTCACTTCTAGAAACACTCAAATCTGCTTTCATCGATGACAGTATCAGGAAGAGCTGGATGAGTAGCAGGAGTTAGTATGGTAGTATTTCTAAAGCAAACTAACCAGTGAGTACAGTCAGGAAGGGTGTAGATACTTATTGTGTGTCTTTGGTGTGGGGAAACTGAGGCAAGTAGAGTGAAGGGGTTACTCAGAGTCATTATGGACATCTGCCAGAGGAGGAGGTAAATGTAGGCATTCAGGCTTCCAGACGCCTCTTCAGGCTCAGTCTTTTTTTTGAGGTCATGTGTTGTCCAGCTGGCAACTTTCCTGCTTTGCTCCAGAGAGCCTCCTTTTCCACTCTCACTAGAAAGAAGCTAAATCTGAGCCTACCAGAGCAGCCCTCCTGGCCGCATGGCATCCTCATAGCATCAAGTGGTGTCACTGCCATGTAGTACCGTGCCTTTTAGATGTAGCCACCTCAGGCATCTTCGTGTAGCATGGGTAGAAGGAAACACATCTGTAGACAGCCTGGGGCTTGGGAGTAGAAGATGTCACTGTATGGGGCAATGGGTACCAGCCATGGTGTAGGAGGCTCTACCTGGAATCACTTGTAGGGTTGGGAAGCACCAGTATAGTCTCTGGAGAGGGCTTCCGAGGGATTTTATTATCCCCTTCAAGAGACAGCAGGTGTCACACTAGCAGCTCAGCAGAATGTTCTCAGCCATCACTAACCACCTCAATGTTTCTTTCTCCCAGTTGTCACAGACGAAACCCTGAGCTTCATCCAGAAAAGCCGACGCCTGCTTGTTGTCCTAAGCCCCAACTACGTCTTGCAGGGGACACAGGCCCTGCTGGAGCTCAAGGCTGGTCTAGAGAATATGGCCGCCAAGGGCAACATCAAAGTCATTCTAGTGCAGTACAAAGCCATCAAGAAGAGCAAAGTGAAGGAGCTGAAGCAGGCCAAGGCGGCCTTGACTGTCATTAAATGGAAAGGCGAGAAATCCAAGTTCCCCAAGGGCAGGTTCTGGAGGCAGCTGCTGGTGGAAATGCCAGTGAAAAAAATTAGCAGGAGTTTGAGCCTTGATGGGCTCATACGTATCCCTGAAAAATGTTTGACACCATCAGAAAACAAACCAAACCCCCAAACTCCACAAGTTAGGCCAGGGAGTGGGAAGGAACTCAGGGTTTTTGCCATGAAGGACTGTCCTCTGAGCATTTCAGAGGGCAGTCAGGCCTCCCTGCAGCATTTCTATTGCCCTGGCAGTAGAGAGACCAAAGATGCATACACCTCCTCTCTGAAAATGCATGTCCTTGTCATCAACCACACAAACCCTGAGCTCAGGGGCTAAATGGGGGCTATCCAGGTGGGATGCAGCCAGCATCTTGTGGGTCCTTTCTTCTCATAAGTGGCTTCACTCCTTCCTGGTCATTGGTCCCTGTTGCAGAGGCTGGGGAACAGTTTGAAAGGTGGGTCCAGTATAGAGCCTTTCATCTATGTCCCAGCTATATAGTCCTGATCACTGTGGGATCAGAGATCTGCGTTTCAGTGGGGGGAGTGTAGAGTCTTGAGGCTCCTCATCTTTGCTCCCCACATTTCTGTAGGAGCAGATTCATTCAGATAGTTTGGCAATGTGAAATGGCTGTTACTAAAGCATTAAAAAAAAAAGAGGGGGGAAAAAAAAAAAGCTCTGCTAGGTGATATCTTTATTGTAGCATTTCTACTAATAAGTGGTCAGTCTCCGGAACTCTGCATCTCCCAAGTATCCCAGATCCTTCAGGGCTGTAATGCTCGTAATCCAGGGGAAATCTCTCATTAGTACAGGCCATGGAGCATGTCTGAGAGATGCTTCTTTGTAGAGTAAACTCAGGGACTTCACAAGCACTGCAAGGATCCCCCATTTACTACTGAACCCGCCTACTGTCTCTGCTGCTGGCTCGGAGAAAGCATCATGCAAGGTGCTGCCAAGGCCTCTAGGATGACACTGGATATGTGTCCAGCTCCCCAGGAGATCCTGCAAACTTATTTGGACTTACTGAAATCTCTTAACTCTGTCCAGCTGGGTAAGACTCTGAGGGATGGGTGAGAGAGTTTGGATTGTTCAGCCTGGAGAAGAGAAGTCTGGGGAGACCTTATTTTGACCTTTCAATACTTAAAGGGGCCTTATAAGAAAGATGGGGACAGACTTTTAGTAGGGCCTGTTTCAATAGGACAAGGGTAATCGTTTCTAAATAAAAGAGGGTAGATTCAGTCTAGATTCAAGGAAGAAACTTTTTGCTTTGAGGGTGGTGAAACACTGGAACAGGTTGCCCAGAGATGTGGTAGATGCCCCATCCTTGGAAACATTCAAGGCCAGGTTGGAGATGTCCCTGATCATTGCAGGGGGGTTGAACTAGGTTACTTTTAAAGGTCCCTTTCAACCCCAACTATTCTGATTCTATGAAGAATCCGTGTTCTCTGCCTGGGTACGAACATCACCGCCATCAGGGCTCAGGTTTAAACTAGCCTTGACTTTACGAAGCAAGTATCTACCCATGTTGTTTCCAGCCCGGAGCTGCAGAACAGAGGATGTATCTCAGCCTCCGCAATCTTTGCACAAAATGGAAATATAAAAAAAAACACTGAGTACCAGTCCCCTCCAATGGGAGGCAGCAGGCATAGGAGAGGACCTGGTGAGTTAACCACCAGCAGACAGAATTTTCAGACTGGCAAGGGGAGTGTCCCTTCCCTTGCAGGACAGACCAAAGCACAGCAGGACCCTAGCATTGACTCGTACTGTTGTTCAAAATGTTTTCACATAAAACTACAAGCTCTGGGGGTGTCTTCATACTCCTGTAGCTCCCAGTACAAGAGCCTGCCCACTTAATTGTGGAATTCAGAGTTACGCACACTAGGTGCATGCTTATTTTTTTGTTGATAACGGTCGCTCCTGAGTCACCTCTGACTCATGGCTTTGCGCTGTAGGTGTCCAGTGGGTGAAGCATATCTATTCGTGATGGCATTAAAAAAGCACTACAGTGTGGAATCTATGCACTATTCATGCAGCAGAGAGGAAGGTTTGAGGGTGTCCTAGTAAAGAGCCCAGCCTTTAACGGTGTGGGACTGAATCCTGGCATCAGTGAAACCTCTTGCTCTTAGCATCGTGTGATTAATAATGTTATTGCAGGGCAGTGGGGAGCCACAGCCATGCATGCTGTTGGGCAGGTACTGTACAAATGTGGAACAAATTGAGATTTTTTTCTCACCTTCCTCCTTATCCTCCCTGCCTCAAGTAAGCTTTGTTTTAAGCAGGTAAAATTGCAATCAGCTTCACTGAAGGTAGTGGAACTCCTCATCTGTTCAGAGGTGCTTAAAAGCCTTGCTGTCAGGAGCTTTTCTACTGTGGCTGGCTGTGGAGGGACAGAGCTGCTTCCCACACTCCAGAAAGCTTCATTTATATGAGACACCATCCAAAACCATGCATCCAAAAGTGTCATTTTGCCCAGCTTCAGCTTTTTGTTTGTGTTTTCAGCATCTCTGTAATCAGCTGCCAGATCCGCAGGCAGAGGGAAGGTCCTGGGGCCAAAGCAGAACTGTGTTAGATTCCAATTTGATTTTTTAAAAATTGACTCAAAAATAACCATAAATTAATTAACATCCCAGGCCTCACCACATCATATCTCATCTCACTTTTGGCTGAGGTACCAAGAAAACTTATGCTGATATTTTAGTAAGTCTGATTATTTTAGGAAGTTAAATCCACCTCATTTATTTTGCTGATTTTATTAAAGGAATTTTCCAAATAAATAATAGACCAGGATTTTCTCTGGCATATGTTGCAGTGGCCCTTGGTGCCATCGCAACCCCAGAACAGGATTACTGAGAGACATCAGCAGAGCATCCACAAGGCAAAAGGTGCAGTGGTCTGAAAGGGGCCTGGGCGGTCCAGGGGGGAGGAATGCTGGACAGGCTCTGCTCCCCTGGGAGCTTTACCACTGGCTTTGCTGGGAGCTGTCAGGCCAGGGGTAAAGCCCAGTCCCAGCTGTAAAGCAGATCCACAAAACACCTCAGATATACCTGCTGCTTCATCCTATGCCATGTGTGGTTTCCATTGTGGGAATCTGTCACAGCATCTGTCTAGTTCAGTTGATTCATTTGAGTTTCTGTGCTCTAACCTAACATTTATCAATATGCAGCTCATACAAAGTTCCTCATTGTTATTTCATGGGGAAACGGTGTGGCAAAAATATCTTTCCCTCTGTGCCATTTGATGTCGTGCAGCTGTTCCAAAGTTTCCCTTCTCTTTTCTGTATGTTTTTGCCTTTGTGTTATTTGGTCTGTGAAGTGTCAGTATTATTTTATTTTGCTTTTCAATAAAACATTTTCACTTTTGCATTTCAGTCCTTGTGCATTTCTCATAAGTATCATTTTCCTCCCCATTATGTCTGTAGAAGGCTGTTAAAGAATGATGACTGTGTGTAGTCCGAGCATCAGAATCATTTGGGGACATCTCCTTAGAGGGGAGCATTTTCCTGGCTGTTTCATGGTGTTCCTGCGGAGATCCTGAGGCACCACCACTGCTACCAGGGCTGTGCAAGCAGGAACACAGTAACACGCAGCATTCAAATGTCACCCAGCAGTGGATATGTGCACAGAAAGTCTCTGACCTGGAGAGTGCTTACTTGGCAATCACAAGACAGAGGGGAAGGAAACAACTCCCCTTCATTTGAGAGACCAAGCCAGGGTGTTGAACAGATCTTGTAAATTTGCCCTAATCAAACTCATTCTTAGGCTGCTTTGCCTATCACCTTCCAGGTAGTTGGGTAGAAAATGTTCATTCAGCTTCGTATTTTCTTATCCAAGCCACTTCCTTGGCTTTTTCCATTGTTTGCATGCTAGAAGGTAAGTTGAGAGAGGATACTTCTAGACCACTAGCAAAATGAATACTTGTGACTATCTATGGATTTGGGGTCTATGGGCTATGGTGTCTACGAGCCCCCAGCTCTTACTGGTCTGGGACATATGTCTATCTCTTAAAATTCTCTGTTACATCTCTGGGATGCATTAGGGGAGATAAGTAAATCAACAAAAATATCCAGTGTCTTTGTAACCATGTAGTAAAGATGGAAGTTTTAGAGTATAAAGCAGATACCCAAGAGTATCAAATTCCCAGCTCTGTTGGTACCCACCCAAAGCCCACAGCGTTATTGCTGCCAGCCCCATCTTGTGCTGTTGGTGTTTCTGGGAGGAACCCTTCTGCCTGCACACTGTGAAGTGGCCACTCAGGATTTTTCATGAGCTGGGTTTACATTGTAAACTGAACCTCCCAAGGTATCCCGGTCAGCCAAGTCTAAATGCATCCCATTCTCAGAAATAAAATCTATCTTTGGGAATTTGAGCATTTTCCTGACAAAAAAAATATTGAGTGTTGCAAATTCAAAATTCATAAAAGAAAACCATCACTGTCAGCTGAATCAATATATTTCATTTTAGCAGTGTTGGATTCATTCACGTTAATTTAACCTGTGCTTCCTGAGCAGGTGGGTAGAATAGGTGACCTCTCAGGGGCTGCTCCTACCTACATTTTGCTGTGATTCTGTGATTCCAGTTTCAAAAAGAAAGACCTTTCAAGCCAGCAAAGGAGCTTTTTCTTTCACAAGATGTTGGAGCTTGGCTGATTTCAGAATAAAGCTCAATCAGTTATAGAAAGGTTTGAATGAGGTCTAGACTCAGTAAATTGGGAGATTGCTGCCAACATTTTGTGCCTTTGAAATAGGGTGGTAAGAATGTTTCATGACATTAAGTGACAGTTCTGACAGAACCAACTTTATCATCTACTTTTGGTTTCAGTGCATCAGTGTTCTCCTGTGTGTGTTGGGGGGAAATCCCTCCAAACCTTGTATACAAGAAAAAGTTACTCCAAATAGTTTGATTTAAATTCCAGCATTGTGTTAAAGAACCAGAGTGCCTTACTTTCTCCATTAGGATATTACTGTTCAGTCATTTTCCCCATCCCATGTTCTTGGTCTCCAAATAATCTAGTGACAGTGGGTTTTACAGCTAGTCATATATCTTTGGGGGAAAAAAAAAAAAAAAAGTATTGCTCTGTACAGTATTAAAATAAGAAGCATTCAGGTGCAACACAGCGAACCTTCTGCTGTGAGATAAGGAAAGAGACAATTGCTGGAAGAATTAAGAGGTATTGCCATTGCAGGGAAGGAGCAATATTTTTATTTATATAAAATACCACTGGCAGGGAGGGATAGGAGTCTCCAGACTGAGAGATCAAGGCTTTAGCAGTGTGAAAAGTGATGGAGCAGCAGGTAGCTCTTCTCCCCAGAACAGCTCTTTGCAAGACATTCCTACAAGGCTTATTCTCACCGAGTGTGCAAGAGCTCTTAACCCCAGTACTCCCGGTCCTGCTTGAACATAACCTTGTCCTCAGGTCCACCCCCCTGCCCATCTTGGGCACCAGCACTCAGTAAGTGGGTGGGATTTTAAAGAGTTTTTACAGTTCTATAATCAGCTTGGGTTAATTTGCTAAGTGCAACAGCCCTATTAATTCCCATCATTTCTGCTGGTCACCCATTAGCCAATGACACCTTCAATATGCTTACTGCATCTCCAGCCACACGTAGAAGTCCAAGGACATCCTTCAGGTTTGCTGCTTTTCAACATTAGTAATGAAAGAGATGCTGCCCTTGCTTGGCGCTATTCCAGCTAACCATCTTGCTGAGCTTTACAAACTGCAATTAATCCCAAAACATGCTTTGAAGGACAGTATTCTCACACCCCATCACAGATAGGGGAACTGACAGAGAGGTTTAAGGCTGACATTTTTGCTTTCCAAGTCTGGAGGCTTCCATTTCTAGATGAGAGAGCATGAGAAGGAGGGAGGTGAGTCTTAGCCTCAGCAGTGTAAGCTATGTCACCATTACATGATTCCTTCACTTTGTTCCCCCCATTCAAAGGGCTGCCAGACCTGTGGGCAGGTGGTTCCTGAACACGACCTGCTCTTTATCAAATGCCTGAATTTCCCTGGGCAGCAACAATTCTGTGCAGTGAAGAAGTCATAGTACAGTCCCGGTTTATCCAGCTATCCTGGCTTCTCATTTACCACTTCAGCCTTCTCAAAAACCAACAGCAAAGTGAAAACGCTGCTACTGCTCCTGCAGTCCCTGCTGGCAGGAGCGTGGGCAAGTTGAAAGTCACTGGGCTTGTGCCAGGTTTCCCTCTGTGGGAAGGGGGGAATCTGTGCAGGTATGCTACTAAACAGCTTCCTTCAGCTTGTCTCTCCTCACTCCCTCCCCGCTTGTGCACCCCAATTCCTCTGCCCTTTCACTCTTAGATACCACTGAAGCTGTGTTCGACTTCATCCAGAGGAGCCGCAGGATGATTGTGGTCCTGAGTCCTGATTACTTAACGGAGAAGAGCATCAGCCTCCTGGAGTTCAAGCTGGGCATCATGTGCCAGAACGCCATCGCCACCAAGCTCATCGTGGTTGAGTACAGGCCGCTGCAGTGCACCCACCCCAGCATCCTCCAGCTGAAGGAGTCTGTCTCCTTTGTCACCTGGAAGGGGGAGAAGTCCAAGCGCTCCGGCTCCCAGTTCTGGAAGGCATTGCGGCTCGCTCTGCCCCTGCGCAGCCTGAGTGATGGTGCCGGCTGGAACGAGAGCTGCTCCTCCCAGTCAGACATCAGCCTGGACCCCATCCAGAGGAGAAGGAGCCGCTTGAAAGGGCAGCCTGACCCACGGGGCAGCATGGCGGGGACTTCGGCTCCTGGAGGGATGGCCCCGGCCCCTGAGTCAAAGGCCAAACACCGAGCCAAGCACTTCTTGACATGCCAGTGTTGTGGGACCTATTGCAATGGCAGCAGCAGACTCAAGCGCAAGCATCAGGCTGTGGCTGAGCCCAGGTGGGACACTCATCTCTGCAAGCCGGGCTCGGGCAGGCCCTTGGTGCAGGGGGTTCAGGGCAGAAGTCGACCTGAGCCCCCACCGGCACAGGCTCCTGCTCTCGCCCTCTGCCATTACAGCGACCTGTCGAACAACAATGACTTCTATGTACTTTAGCCAAGAGGCTGACAGCACCGCAGGTGCTGGGCTGGCAAAAGAAACTCACTGCAGCCTCAGCTAAGATATTTTTTACAATATCAGAGCCTGATGCAGTGTTGTTCGCTGTCAGTCTCATGCCAGCAAGGCGGACTGCAGCGATATCACAGGTGCTGGTGATCTGAGCCAGGGACTTGCAGCCACACGCAGAGCAACGGCTGGGGGCTGCCTGCCCGGGTCCTTCTCCTTAATTTAAATTGCAAAGTGGAGCTGAAAATGTGTTTCTCTGGTGTTGCTTTTCCCCAGTTGTGGTCATGTTTGCTGCAGGGCTGCTGCTGGGGTTGGCTGTGGGAGGGCAGGTCCCCAGCCGAGGGTCGGGAGGGAGGGGGGAAGAAGCCATGCTCCTGTCAGTAACCTCTGGAAGGGGGAGCAAGCCTGCATTTTGCAAAGGATAAAACTTTGCTGGTGAGCGCAACAGGAGCCCCTGCCAGTGCAGGAGTGCACTGTGCAGTAGGAAGTGTTATCCACTGTGGTTTAAAAAAACTTGGTCAAAAGTTTTAAGACAAGTCCCTTCTCTCTAAATAAAACTGATTTCTTTACCCTGCTGTTGTTACAAGTGCCATGGGAATTGGTAAATGCTGGAGCCTTGTTCACCAGGAGGTGCCTGGGGAGGTGGTTTGCCCAAGCTGGCTGAGGTCCCCTCCTGTTCCCAGTGCTTCCAGTGGGCTCCTGGGCTCAGTTCCTCTCCCAGCTTCACCGTATGATGAATTTGTTCTGACAGTTATGTGGCCTGTCACACAGCAAGAAAGCCATTACAAATCTAGGGAAATACGATTAAAAAAATTCCCTGAGTAGTCAATGAGCTCAGGGAGAGGAGCAAGACCTAAAACACTCACAGAAAACCTCAGGCGCTGAAGCTGAGGGGTCAAAACTCAACCACACTTCATTAATAACCGAAAGAGCCTTTGAACTGTCTCCCTGGGGCTGCTGTTTCATCAGCCGGTTGAGCTGGCTGACAGCAGTGTTTCTCACTCTTCAACCGCAATGAAAACTTCATTTGCATCATTCTACTTTGTATAATGACTTCTCTCCCCACCAAGGAAGGGTGCTAATCCTAGGATTTGGCTGCTCGCCTTCAGCTGATGCTCAGACACGCCAGACCAGGTAATACACTACATTTGTTTTTTTCCTCTGAGATAAAAAAAGGGTCTCCTTCGTCACGCTGGTCAGTCTAGTTGTTGCCTCCAAGGTTGGCAAGCAATTATTTTTCTCTGCCTTGGAAACAGGAACTGAGCCCTTGGTGTCCAGGGCCCGTGGCCCCCAGGACAGACCCTTATCTGATGTCCTCAGGTGCAGCCGTAGTGAAACTGCTGGAGCTGTGAGAAGGGAAGGGGCCACGTCTCACCCATTTTAATAGTGCTGAAGCCCAGTTATAATTCACACATCGCTTTCCTTCCCTCAGCAGCCTCTCTTCCCCACTATTGCCCTGACTTTTTCGATCTTTTCCTTCTGAGATCAAACACAGCTGATGGCTCTCCCGTTACAAGTTTCTGTGAGCTGAATCCTAACAGCCCTGCTGCAACAGACCGAGAAAATAGAAACCAAAAAACGTGGTGCTGAGTCAATCCAAATACAATAAGGGCAAAAAACACCTACCAGCTCATAGGAATTTGAAATTTAAACTCTAAAGAACTCTCCAGGCATGGATTTCTCTGTAATTTCAAGAAGACATGATGTAAATGGCTCAGAAAAGTTTTGTCTATGTGTGGCCATTCTCAGTGATCAAAGAGGAGGAGCAGGAATGAGATATTTTTCAAGAAAGCTGATAAATTGCAGAAAGCTTTGTGAGAAGTAATCAAAACGCCATGAAATGGTTAAATGCTTCCAGTTGCTTACAGCTAGATGGGGGATGGTACTGTCAATGAGTCTGCAGAGCTGAAAACACAAGTTACAAAATACAAATAATTTGCAATCAATCTACCCCCGGAGTCAGCATATTTGTTATTTGTTGGCATTTAAACAGCTTTTATTTACAGACTTTGCCCTTATTTGACTGTGGTGTTGTCTCAGTCCACTACAGCAATCCAAAGATGTAGGAGACAACAGCTGAAGCTTCTAGTAGATGTACAGAGTGATCAAATCCAGCCTTTTTGGGCAAGCTATCATCTCTTCATGAAAGAACAAATGCTAACTGGTAAGGACCATTGCTTCTCCTGTCGCTTCAACAGAGCTAGTGCAATTTTACTACCACTTTTCCTACCCACCAAACAGACCCAGGGTTTTGGCTGTTCTCAACAAATACGGAGAGATAGTGGATTTCAGTGGGTGCAGAGACTTTGCCCCCCGAGGCCAGGGTCGCAGAGCCCAAAGGTACACTGTGTTGGATGGGATGTCTCAGCAAAGACACAGGGACCAAATCCAAGAACGAATTTCCGTTGTATCTGTTTCACATCCTAAGGACGTTGCTTAGAAATAACCCAAGCACCAGCATGAGGTCTTGCTTTAGGACGAGAACAAACTCTTCACAGAGCTGATTTCTGCTCGCTGAAATTCAGTTAAAATCTGTTCATGTCCCATCTGACACTGACTGATGCAGATGGACTGTAGTCACTGCTCTCTTCGCTGATACACATGTATTTGTTGTATAAAAAAATGCAATCATCTCTAAAGTTAACAGGCAGCACAAAACCATTTTACAATTTACTTCACCCCACCCAGTCCTCTCAAGAGAATTGTTCAGAGGGGAGCAGAATTAGTATATATGGAGAATTTCTACCATATCCTAATATAAAAACATTCATACAACATTGTATATCCTACCTATGGCATGCAACAGTACAAGACTACCAGGTCATAATGTGCAGATCCATTTGTACACATTTCCACGGTTACCTAGATGTTTTTAACCTGTGGAAGGCTAGTGGTGTCATCAAGACACTGAACAGCACTAGCTAGACAGCTAGGGAACACAGGCGAGTCAATTAGTCCATCTCAACATCAATCTGTCTTGACTTCAGTGATGGCAAAGCTCTGGTACCCAGGAGGTCTCTCCCTGGCAAGTTCCACTGGACATACCGATAATGGGCTGCTCCTCACAGCTGAGATGCTGGATGAATCACTAACCACCAACCTCTTCCTAACATCAACAATATTTTTGCTCTCATCTACTACACTAGATACTGATCTCAGAGCATCTGATTAAGTGTATTTATAGCAGACATTTTGCCAAACGATGACAAGATCATGAAGGAACCAACAGATGCTAGAAATAGGGAAAAAAATGCTTCAAACCTTTAATCCTTGTTCCACATTTATATTTTTTTCTCTTGTGGCTGATTCACCATGAATATCTGTGAAGGGCAGCACACCATTTAGGATGGTGTCTGCCCAGTGTGACATATCCAGTGTAAGAGTGTAACCCAGAGCCACATCAAGCAGGTGAGGGGAGGCTTTGCAAGCAGGTGCACCCGTAGGACAGAGCTGCAGCCTGGGGCACATAGGTGCTCCGTGCTCACCACCAAGGCTCTTGGCCTCAGCTGGCACCCAGAAAAATGTGATGCTGTTCTGGAAATACATGAGTTAAAACACTGTAGCAGGAGTAGGAAGAAACACTCATGAATGACCCCGTAGCTGCCTGCCCCAATCCATGTGAAAGAGACAAGGTTTGACTCTAGTTCAGGTGCGTGTTCATGTTACATACCACTGCTGGTCATGCTGGGGAGAGGCTACGGCTCTAAAAAGATGTAATAAATGCAACACTCAGGCCCCTTTAACTATTAACATAAAATGTTAATGAGACACATAAATGTTGCGGAATAGTTTGTAGAAGAATATGACTTTAATTCTTCATAGCACCAGACACAGTAATGGCCAGACATCAGGGGACACAACATTTACACTGATATGCCTGTAATCAAGCTAATGATTTGTACTTTACTAAAACATATCGGCCACAAAGTCATTTGGCTTGAAAACACAAAAGAGTTTTCCAACTCATCAGTATTTGTTCAAGTGAATAATCAGCCTCACCCTTAATATCATGCCTGATTGGTTTTTTGCCTGTTTTTTGCTTCCAGACAGGGTTCTTGTTCTACCTTCCTCTGCTGCAACAAATAGACTTCTTGGGGATTTTTCTGTCCATGGGGTATTTGCACGCTGTTGCCAAATCATCTGGCAATCCATTGCCCATGAAAGGTTTGTTCTCAAGTTTTCTGGAAGGTTTTATTTCTTTTCTTTGCTGTTTAATAATTTCCAGATGATGTTCACAGACACCTCTCTTGTTGCCTGGGCTGCACAAGGAGATGAAGTCCCTGATCTCGGGTTATTCACTGCTTCCCATCGACTCTTGCCTTCATGCCACCACATCTCAGTGGGAAACCAGACTTCATTGTTCGTCCACTCCAACACCTTTTCCAAGGAAGTGTTATGGCTGAGGTGCCCTCCACCAGCATGATCTTAGATGAATTCTTTTGTTACACGTCGGGCAAGCCAGATCACATTGCATGCTTGGTGAAGCGGGAAATAGCGATGACAGACAATCTTTCTGCCATCTGCCATGGGTATTAGCAAATGATGTTTTATTTATCTCGAGATCAGCCATGAAGACACTGACTCCCATTAGAAACATGTTCAATGACAAGGTCTCATCTTTTGAGATCTATAGGTTAATGGATGAAGAACCAAAAACCTGCTGCTAATGTGCACAGGATGATGCTTACAAAACACTACCACATCTATGTACCCACAGTTACCAGTCAAGCTGGAAATACTATTGATGGAAAAAGGTCATTTGGGAGTATCTGTTCCCACCAGGCCATGTTTACTGGATACTAATTAATTATACTGCCACCTTGAAATTCCATATGTGGCCTATTCCATATTGACCAGTCTAGGAATGAACTTGCAGTGAGCCATACAGATTCAGAAAGAACTAGAGATTCCCATTCACAGGAAATCTTTTTTTTTTTTTTTTCTATCAAACAGAACACAAATAGTACAAGATGATATCAAAATTTTCTATCACTTTTTCTCAGCAAGCTATATACATGGCAAGGGGAAAATATTTGACTCCCATTTTGAATTCTATTTTCTTTAAGATAAATGTGTTTTGAAAAGATTTTTAAACAAAGCTCAAAATGTTCTCTACCAGGAGTGTCAAAAACATGTCGGTATTTCCCTTCTGTTTTGCTTAAAGCATGCTTTGTTAGGACTAGTCCCTTTTAAAACATTTCAACTTAGATGAAAACAGCATTTTCCTTTGGAAAACAGGTTTCATTATAAACACACCATCAGAGCCGGACTGGTTATCAAACATACCCTTTTCTGCATATTGGTCCAGCAGTCTCAGTTTTCAGTATTTGCAGTTTCCCAGTCTTCCAAGATTTATTAAATAATTAGGTCGGGGTTGCCCCAACCAACCCTCTAGCAATTGAAAAGCCTCCAACTGTATTCTTACAACTAGCTGAAAAGCAACATGTTTGCATATCAGATCGTATCAGCTCCTCAAATCTCACTCATGTTTGTGTATGAGGTTGAAGAACTTGGCTGTGGATAATGCCTTACTACCTCTTTCTTCCTATATATTGCCAACACAAATGGAGATGTCTCTGAAGACAGTAATCTATGCCTTCTGCTTTGCTCGTGCTCTTTCAATGCACACTGTTGCCAGTGAAAGAAAACTCTGCTCCATTCACGTCTACATTTTGATTGCATGCTTCTTTCTGGAGGCAGACAAGGATATAATTTTGTTTCGCATCTCTGCCTCAAAAGCATCTGGTTCACTTGTGGTGATGCATGATAGAGCAGCTGTTCACTCCCATTCAGCATCAGCCTCACTGGCACGTGTTCATTTACCTGCATTTAACATCCTGATGGAGTCAGATGGCATTTCAGACTCACCCACTATACCCTTCAGATTCGCACACATGAAAAAAACTCACCACCAAAACCCAGATATCTGGCTATTGTCCCCTAATATCTGCATCTATTTTGGCTGGTTTCGTCTACTCCAGCAGCACAATCCTGCCAGGGTCCTGGTTCACCCAAACAACAGTAAATGCTCAAGTTGGTCTACCTGTGCCCAGCCTTTGGCACAAAGCTGGACCTGAATGGGGAAAAGTGAGGGCATCTGGGCTATGTCAACA